AAACTTGACCACGGATACAGTTTTGCTTGATGCGGTCCTGCCTCAGGAGAGTGCACACATCCAAACTTGACCACGGAGACAGTTTTGCTTGCTGCGGTCCTGCCTCAGGAGAGTGCACACATCCAAACTTGACCACTGAGACAGTTTTGCTTGCTGCGGTCCTGCCTCAGGAGAGTGCACACATCCAAACTTGACCACTGAGACAGTTTTGCTTGCTGCGGTCCTGCCTCAGGAGAGTGCACACATCCAAACTTGACCACGGAGACAGTTTTGCTTGCTGCGGTCCTGCCTCCGGAGAGTGCACACATCCAAACTTGACCACTGAGACAGTTTTGCTTGATGCGGTCCTGCCTCCGGAGAGTGCACACATCCAAACTTGACCACAGAGACAGTTTTGCTTGCTACGGTCCTGCCTCAGGAGAGTGCACACATCCAAACTTGACCACGGAGACAGTTTTGCTTGCTACGGTCCTGCCTCCGGAGAGTGCACACATCTAAACTTGACCACGGATACAGTTTTGCTTGATGCGGTCCTGCCTCAGGAGAGTGCACACATCCAAACTTGACCACGGATACAGTTTTGCTTGATGCGGTCCTGCCTCAGGAGAGTGCACACATCCAAACTTGACCACGGATACAGTTTTGCTTGATGCGGTCCTGCCTCAGGAGAGTACACACATCCAAACTTGACCACGGATACAGTTTTGCTTGATGCGGTCCTGCCTCAGGAGAGTGCACACATCCAAACTTGACCACTGATACAGTTTTTCTTGCTGCGGTCCTGCCTCAGGAGAGTGCACACATCCAAACTTGACCACTGATACAGTTTTGCTTGCTGCGGTCCTGCCTCCGGACATGACATGGGGTTCGAACCAGAGAATATCAGAAATATATTCGCAGACAAGTCATGCCACCTCAGTGTAGATGACACTTCAGTGTAGATGACATTTCAGTGTAGATGACACTTCAGTGTAGATGGCACTTCAGTGTAAATGACACGTCAGGATAGATGACACTTCAGTGTAGATGACACTTCAGAGTAGATGACACTTCAGGGTAGATGACACTTCAGGGTAGATGGCACTTTAGTGTAGATGACACTTCAGTGTAGATGACACTTCAGGGTAGATGGCATTTCAGTGTAGATGAAACTTCAGGGTAGATGTCACTTCATGGTAGATGGCACTTTAGTGTAGATGTCACTTCAGAGTAGATGGCACTTCAGGGTAGATGACACCGATTAACAGGGGTGATCGCATGTGTAATGGATGATGTATGAATCTTTTTTGAAAGTAAAACAGATGATCAATGATTGTTGTAGCAACCCTGTTAGTGATCTGCTGGAAGAATGACGAAACAAATTAAAACATTGGACTTGTCAAATGGTCCGGTCCTAAAGTGGACCAAAAATAAAAATTAGATTAAGAAATCATTTTGCTGACCACCTCCCCGTCGACTCTTAGCTTTGTTTCCCTTCCCTC